AAAAAAAAAAAAGGTTATAACCGGAACCCCCAAAAAAGGCAACAGGCCCTAGAACTCCAACAAACATTTTTCTGGGGTTGGCCTCGATCCTAGGACAGGTCCTGACCGACCTCCCCTCTTCTTTTTTTTCTTTCCTACGTTGGTCTCATCCGGGCCTTCGAAACCGGACGTCCGGACGCAAGTATAGATCTGAACCGTCTGGATGGCGGTCCGGATGTCCAAATCGTAGCCATAGTAATTACCTTTAAAAGACGACGTGCTAGTGTCTTTGCTATCAACTTCTAGACTGCGGTTAGAAGAGTGATAGGTTTATAAGCACGAATGTTTGATTTTTCTCCCTTGTTCTACAGGAGTGTGAGGACCCCTTGTCCAACTACTTCTCACATTCTACCCGTGATCCTGATTGCGTGATAAAGTCCATGATATCTTGAGAGAGATCATCTCATATTACTTCCCAGAAATTTTTGGGCAGTCCATCAATGTCTGGGTCTTCTCTTCTTCCATCAACGTCAGTGTCGTCCATATTTCTTCCTTAGTGAGAGCACTGAGAGGTTCTTCCAATATACGCTGCTCTCGCTCTTTCCTTTTTTGATCTTCAGGATGATCTTTGCATTCTAAGGTAAAAAACTCTTTTATAAAGTCTCCGGTTATTTTAGTACATGCAGTCGTTGAGGTCGACAAAGGTAGGTGGTGCTCCTGGGGATCAGAGGGAGTTTCAATAATAGATCTCCCGGGTCTAATTTTTAATTTCTCTATACTATTAACACATGCAAAGGGCCCAGTGTCGGGCCCAGCAGAAACCGGGCCAGCACCGCGCGGGCCGAGTGGGACACTCGCGGGCCGAGGGAGGGTCCGGCCTGGCACAGGGAAGTGAAGCTCGCTGGCCGCCAGCGGCCGACGAAGCACAGCGTTGTGGGAACGGTGGGGAGCGTGCTCCGTGGGGAAAGGAAGGCCGCGTCCGGGTGGCAGGGGACGAGGGCGGGGCGGTCGAAGTGTGGGGGGGGCGGTCGACGTGTGGCGGAGGCTTGCAGGCAAGGGGGCGAAGTGACATGCGGGAGAGGAGAAGTGTAGCGGGGGCGGTCGAAGTGTGGTGGGGGCGTGCTGGCAAGGGGGCGAAGCGACATGCGGTGGGCATGGGAGACAGAGAGAGGAGAGAGAGATACGAGAGAACTGACCGGAGGACTGCTCGCTGGACCGTCGGGAGAAACGACACCTGGGAGAGAGAGAGAGAGAGAGAGAGAGAGAGAGAGAGAGAGAGAGAGAGAGAGAGAGAGAGAGAGAGAGAGAGAG